CTCAGTGAAGCCTGTGCTTAGTCACTTGTGTTGCTCCCACAGTGGCGCACAGTAACTGCCTCATTTGGCTGTGGGTGACTGAGTAATGCTTTGACTAATACATTTCCTGCTAAGTATGTCTCTTGAGGCCAGGGAGGCAGTATGAGGTCCTTGGGCTGTGTGTGGCTAGACCTGGTGAATCATCCCTGCATCTCAGACTGAGAGAAACAAGGACAGCAGCAGTGGATGGCCCTTGCTGCCAGTGGTCAGGATCATTTTCTCATCTTGGCCTGTCTGTCTTTGTCATTTGGGGGCAGTAGCCCACCTGTTGCCTTCCTTAGGCAATTTTTCTCAAAGGGTTATTGATTCTGAATGTACTTGCTCTTCCTGTCACCAAGTGGTTCCCTTTGTTTAGTGGGGACACATCCTCCATCAGTGCTCCTAATATCCTCAAACATTCTTCCAAGGGTCCTACTTGTTACAGTCAGTAATAAAGTCTTACCATAATGTGTGTCATTGACACCTATTTTATTAATGGAGAGTTTGCTACAATGCACCTTTAGGCCTGTGGAAGGGTACAGAGTGAGGTCTTGAAAGCGGGACAGGGGTTTTATAATGTTGACCTAAATAATATCTAAATAATAATAATATCTAATATCATTGATCTAAGAAGATGATAATAGTTGGGAAGACGATAATAACTTCAAATAAGCCTACCCGCCAGTTTAAAGCAAAGAGGGCTGAAGGGAAAGTTGGAGGAATCTCTTTGTGACCTTTAGAGACTTGAGCTATCCAAGAGAAAATATTTAGGATTTGAAAATGAGAGCTAGTGAGATGGCTCAGCAGGTAAAGGCACCTACCTGCCACTAAGCTTGATGACCTGATTTTGATCCCCAGAACCCATCGAGTAGAATGACAGAACGACTGGATCAGGTTATACTCTGATCTTCACATGAGTGCGGTGGCTCACATGCACAGGTACGTACCCCAAACAAATAAAAATGCAATAAAAATGAAAAGAAAGCACTTAGCAAGCTCAAAAAATAACTTACGATGCAATATGAAATGTAAAAGAAAAGAAAATGAAGAAATGAGTGTTTCTAGTCACAATTAAAGGCCTGGGGTGAGCAAGATGTCTGACCACTGGTGAGCAAATGCAAATACCTCGGCAAGAAGAGGCCCTGCTTTGAGCAGTCCCATGCTTGTGCTTGCTTGTCTGGGTTTATGTCACAGGGATGCAGGCAGGTGTGAACTGAAGGATGCAGGCAGGTGTGAACTGA